CAGGTATAAAATAAATAATATTTATTTAATTAAGAATAACACTATTTAATTAATAATTTACTAAATTAATTGTTTTATAGGTTTCAATTTGGACAAAGATTTTAAAAGATTGGGATAAACAACTTAGTAGATTGGACAAGAATATTCTTCTTATTGTTGATGGTGCTCCAGTACATTGCCTTGAAGAAAATATTGAATTGAAATATATTCGTATTGAATTTTTATTACCTAATGCTATCACACATATTCAACCCTGCGATCAAGGAATTATCCATTCATTTAAATGTTTTTATAAGAAAGGTTTTATCAGTAATAGAATCGATGCATATGATTCTATTTATAACAAGCCAAATGAAAATCTGCCAGCTTTTACAATTCTTGATGCAATTTATCTTGTGGCTAATGCTTGGAAAAGTGTAACTCATGAAACTATTGCAAACTGTTGGAAACGAACTGGTATTCTTCCTATTAGTAACAATAATAATGAATTACCTATTCAATTTCAGGATATCGAACATGAACAAGTTGATGAATTAAACAAAATGATTGCAAAACTTCCAATTGATAATCCACTCAGCGCTAATGAATTTTTACATTTGGATGATGTTTTACCAATTGAAGAAATCCCAGATGATATGATTTTAATTGAACAAATTCGACATGAACAAGATGATATTGATATACAATCTGATGATAATAGTAATAATAATATTGAATTACAACATAAGATTACTTTACAAGAAGGAAATCGACTTGCTAAAGATTTAGTTAATTTTTTATTACAACAAGATGACGAATTTGGTATTTCAACTAAAGAATTGGAGGTGGTTAGACATATAAGTGAAATTATTAAGCGCAAAGAAATGAACTCACGACATCAAGTATCATTAATGCATTTTTTTAAATAATATTTTTTTTAATATCTTAAAGGTTAATCTATTTTTTTAAATAATAATATAGTATGTTTTTTTCAATATTTTAAAATTTAATAAATATATTTTT